CCTCCAGCAAGGACTCACGAGTACGGAACGATTGTTTACATGGGAGTCTAAATAATGTAGTGAACTCTCAGTAAATATGAACAGACACGCTCAAATCCTAGAGACGGGAAGGGCGTGGCTGCGTACTTCATTCAAACACGGTCTAGGAGACGTCTTTCGTAGGGTATTTCCATCTGAGAAAACTGTCATCCTGGCTTGCGCTACACAAGGACATGATTAAAATTGCCTCAGAACTGTAATACCCCTCCAAAAGCGCAACCGACACCATGAAACGAGTATGCGGCCACGCCTCCTCGATCTCCGAGATGGGTGCAAATAGTGGAGCGACTGGAGGAACTCACCTGAACATCCAAACCTTTTGACGCTAGAATTTTCTCCTTTTTCGGAACATGAGGTATATTCTGAGTCTTTAGGAACCGGATAGTGCGACTTCTGAGGCGTTCTTCCTACAAGAACTTATTGCCTGAGAGGATAGAAGTAGTAGGAACTATGTGCTTTCTCTTTACTGAACACTAAAGTACCTGTGTGATTTGGATTCAGATAATTTTCTTCCACCATTGCTAACATCTCTTTGTTCACTTCCCCAAGACGATCGCGCAAACCTTGGGCCACTGTATGGTCGACCGTCACCTGAAGAAGAGGAAGTGTCTTTGGAAATCACATCTTCTCATCAAATATCTTAAATGCACCTGTTCATTTTGTTCATTTTTACGGAGGGTCTCATTCTCAGCGACGCCCTTTTCAATTGCTTCGCTTCTCTCACATTATGGAGTTCAACAAATCCGTCACATTAGAGCTTACGCATTTACTTCTTGCGGCTATTTCGTCAGCGAAAGAGGTGCTGTTTTCCTGAAATAAACAGCTTTTAACAGGAACTTCGCATGAAACGAAGACAAGTACCGCCAAAGAGGAGTGCGCTTCCATCGCATGCGTACATACATCCTTGAGAACACCAATAGAAGACGACCTGAAATTATTTCCTGAAAGAAACGGGAATTTTGCTTGACAACAGAAAGTTCTGTAAACTTTTCATGACTGTCTTCAACCGCCCGTCATCCACTCGGCACTGTGACCGCTATCGTTTTAGAACTTTGACCTCATATTGAAAAATCGCGAGAGAAGAATCAAAGCGGGGTGGGATGGTAATACGTCAGCAGTCGATTGCTGTCAGTGAAGATAACCTGGAGGGCATTCGAAGGACTGCTTGTTCAAAATTTGAAACCATTTCATCCGAATAGAAGTATTTTCCTCTAATTAGTTCATCAACCGCAGAGCTTCTCCCTCTTTAGCGTTAGGCAAAAATCCTGAACTTCGTTGCGGAAATTCCCGTTTTGCACAAGGGGTCCTTTAAATGCTCCCGCCTGGGCTGTAAGCGCAAAGGTGCAGAATGCATGAATCGGGAGAAATGGACACTGAAGAATGGATCCAACCTCAGTCCGAGCTCACAACGCTTTATGCCTATTCTGCCTTATACCTTCCTTTGCGCTCATTCTCCCTATCCAAGAATACTTTTGATAGCAGAATTTCTAAACCGTGGATTGTTCACAATCGCGAAGCTTGAACTCGGCCTAACATTGAATATCAGCCAGATAGTGTAAACTAATAGGAGCATAAGTGCAAGCTGCTGAGAGTTGGAAGATCAGAAACAGTCAAGTGTAATGTGATGTCAGAGGGCGATGCACAAGAGAAGAAGCCATGACAGAGCGATCCATCGTGGATCATGGACCTTGCCCTAGGTGAGGTAAGTGGGTCCGCAGCTGCAGGACGTGCCACCTCCAGTCAGAAGTGCACAAGAATGGGATGGTATTGATGCCCAGGCACTGTTCCAATATTCCACCCACGCCGCCGCATGAACAACAGCACGCCTAACTATAGCCAAACGCGCTATTTTTCTGCGCGATTTGCAGCAGAATCCCGGTATAGACGCATGTGCTGCAAACTGAGGGCATAGTATGGAGATGACACCCGGGTCTTATTATCTGCACTTTCGAGAGCGAGTCTCATTACACTCCTACCCCGTTCACGTGTACTTCCGTGTACTAACGGAACGGCACGCTACCGCAGCCGTGGGTCCATTCACTTTACTCATGGAAAGTACCCTGCCTTGGGAAGTAGTGTACAGTCCTCTTTGAAGAATGTAGTCCCAAGTTAGCGACGCTCATTTAAAAAAAAACTTACACGCTTGCAGTTACCGTCCCCGAAATTTTGTTAACGGTTTCGTTGGCAGATGTAATGGCATCATGAGCGATATCGCCGCGTCCTTGGAACGTCGACTGCCATGTCTCGATTTGGTTGAGATTTCTTTCTAACATGTCATTGTCCTGGGATTCGATTCTGAATGAAAACCATTAAGGATGGTTCGGAGCGATACAAATCACAAAAATCTAAGTCGCAAAAGAAAATTAATACTCACTGCTCAAGTGTCTCGTTATTCTCCGCTTGATAGTGAAGACATTCGGCGACAATAGCCTGCGCCAGCTCATTTTATTTGTCAGCGAACTGCCAGATAGCAGAGTTCACGGTACTGAACACCGATGTTTCGCAGCTCCTTTCCGTTATTAGGAACGAGACCATGAAATTATCGCATACACTGGAGGAGCTGAAAAAGGAGTCGGATTTTATGGTGAGCTACACTCTTTCCAAAAA